CGCTCTCCTGCCTTTCTCCTCGCTGCAACATTCATCACCCACGCCTTCCACAACCAATAGAAGCGTTGGTTAAAACTATTCTCTCATACATTCCCCATCTTTGCTACAAGGACAAGTTCTTTGTCTCACAGACGCCTAAGTGCACACTCACTCTTTTTCCCTCATCAATTCTATGATTCACTCTCAATATTTCTTAGACCCCATCCGTGACACGTTCCACTCTCAATTTCTGAATACGTTCACCTCCTCTATACTCTTCCTCCAATCTGATTATTCATCTATTTTCACATAATCTTTTTTGTTTTCATCATAACCTACTCTTTCCTGGTATTCAACCTTTACTTTTCTTCTTTTGCACAACCCTACCAAATTCATCCACCAAATCTCGCTGCTTCTCTTCAGTAATCTCCAATAGGCACTGTGTTCATCAGCAAAAGAGCAGCCTGTGAAACTCCGCTTTGTGTCGTGATTCTTTATCTTTTATCTCCACGCCTCTTGCCAAGCCCTCGCATTTACATCTCTTACAACCCATCTGATTAATATGTTAAACAAACCACGGTGACAATCACAACACATCCTTGTCTAAGGGCTACTTTTAATGGGACTACAACATTTCACTCTTTCTACAAACTCTAACTTGAGCTCACTATCCTCGTTATAACTCTTTCACTGCTTTCAGTTAACCTACCTCCACACCATACACTGCAACATCTGCCACATTGCCCCCCTATCACCCTGTATAAGGCTTTTTCCAAATCCATAAATGCTCCACCAAAAGACCTCTTTAGCCTTATCTAAATACCTGGTTCACTTATATGTTTTCACTGTAAAACACCTGAGTCCACACACCCCCTCCCTTTCCTAAAGCCTCCTTGTTTATCTGCTATCCTATTCTCAGTCTTACTCTTAATTCTTTCAATTATAACTCTTACCATACACATTTACCAGGTACACTCTACAGAATTTATCACCTATAATTTTTGCACTCTCTTTTATCCCTTTGCCTTATACAAAGGAACGATGCATGCTACTCTGACAATCCTAGGAACCTTCCTCTTCCAAATACATTTATGTAATTAATGCACCAACCACTCCACAAATATATCCCCCCTGCTTTTAACATTACTATCTTTATCCCATCAATCCCGGCTGCAATTACACCCCCTTTTCATTTTTACCCACTTGCCTCACGAACTTCACCCACATCACAAATGGCTCTTCCCTCACTCTACAAGATGAGATATATTCCTCTTGCCCCTATACACGAAATCACAGTTTCCCTATCTTCATCAACATTTAACAATTTCCTCAAAATTTCCCTCATTCTTCCCCATACCTCTAACTCTCCATATTAATAACTCTCCTCTCCTATTTTTAACTGACAACATCAATTGATTCTCTAGCTTTCTTACTTGTTAATCTCACTCCAAAACTTTTTCTTATTTTCAACAAAAATTTGATTGATAACATACTCTCCCACTCTTCTCATTTGCTCTTTTTTACAATGCTTCCCACTCTCTTAACCTCTCTCTTTTTCTCCATATACTCTCCCTCCTTGCATCACTTCATACTTGTAAAAACTTCTCATATTGCTAACTTTTTCTCCCTTACTACTCTCTTTACATATCATCCACAATTCGCTCCTCTTCCATATGCACCACTTTCCCCTGTAACCAAAATTCTGCTGAAACCTCTAACACTACATTTTTAAACCTACCTCATACCTCTTACGACCCATTGCCTATGCTCTCATTAGCCCACTCTATCCTCCATTAGCTGTTTATATCTTACCCTAACTGCCTCCACTTTAGTTTATAAACTTCACCTCTCTCTTCTGATGTTCTATTCTCCTTGCTTTCACATATACCTTTTACTCTCAGTGTTGCTACAAATAGTAAGTGATTGATTTTCTGTGGCCAACTCTATAAAACTTGTACATCCTGAAGTCTACTCAACAGTCTTTTATCTACCAATAATAATCAATCAAACTACTGTCATTTTCGCCCTACATCATATCGTGTCATACTTATTTATCCTCTTTTTCTTAAAATATGTATTACCTATAACTAAAAACCATTTCTATACAAAGTTCAATCAAAGGGCTCCCATTATCATTTACACCTGGCACCCCAAACTTACCTACCACACCCTCTCTAAAAGTTTCTCCTACTTTAGCATTCAGGTCCCCTACCACAATTACTCTCTCACTTGGTTCAAAGGCTCCTATACATTCATTAACCATCTCCAAAATCTCTTCTCTCTCTCTGCATTACTCTCTGTCAAGGTGCATACACGCTTATTATGACCCACTTCTCGCATCCAACCTTTACTTTAATCCACATAATTCTTGAATTGTTTTGTTTAATTGTATTCGAAACAGCGATCAGTGCTGATTCGAGGCACTTGCGTCTGCGGAAATTAGTTTCTTTGTCACTAATTGCGGCGTCTCTGATTTTCATGAGTTGATTGGTGGAATTTACGGTGATTGTACACAGGCATTGTTAAGTTATCGTTTACATGCGTAAAATGTGTTCATTGAGGGGGTGTCGAAGGTTTCATGCAGATTTCACCTACGTAGATCTTGTCACAGCCTCCACAAGGGTTATTGTGTAAACTCCAGCCATTGATGGTTCGTGGGCTTGGTATTTGTCATGGTTAGATCCTTTTTTGAAGTGCTAGAGCTATGGCGACTCTGCGTGTTAGCTTGTGAAAGTACTTTTGAGACGTTTGTGCAACCTGGCTGTTGGGAAGAATTATAACATTGTTGCGGAGTTCGTGTTGATGCCGTGGAGAATTCAATGATCTGGATCGAGCTTCCTTTACTCGACATCCCTCATTCACAAAGTAGACAAACAACTTAAGACTTTCAAGTTTATTGGAAACCCACCAATAAAAATGATCTCACACACTTCATTCCAGTCAAGGGGACCAAGACCAAAAGGGCATCATCATCGGGTTTTTTTCCTAGAGCCATACCGAATTTGTATAGTCTGAGTTTCTGACGAGGAATGTACATACATTTCCAAACATCACTGAGTTACATTTTCCTCCTTGTTCATCAGCTTTAAGACTGCAAGGAAAAGAGCTCTTCAGATCATTTATTCTCACGCATCAACACCACTCCCAACAAAGTTATAATTTTCCCAACAGCCAGGTTGCACTAAACGTCTCAAAAGTACTTTCACAGCTAACACCAGAGTCGCCATCGCTTCTAGCACTTCATTAAGGATCGTAAACCAGGACAAAATCCAAGCCACCACGAACCAGTCAATGACAGAAGTTTACACTATACCTGTGGAGGCTGTGACAAGATCTACGTAGGTGAAACAGCAGAACACCTCGGACAACCCGCCTTCAATGAACACATTTACTGCATGTAGGAAACGATAACTTGAATCATTGCCTGTGTTACAACACTGAAATTCCACCAATCAATTCATGAATTCAGAGACGCCCAATTAGTGATCAAAGAAACTAATTTCCGCAGACGCAGGGCCTCGAAATCATCCAACACTGGATCGCTGTTTCGAATGCAATTAAACGCAAAAACAATGGCAGCTTCACCATCTCCCGAAAAGTAACTAGAAGAATCCTCCTGAAAACAGTAAAAACCCTGCCATTACCATAGTCTCTCTGTTATACTACTCAAAGCACATTACAGAGAGTGATACACTTGAACAACCTTCCTCTTTAAGTCTATATATTTGTCAACTTATTTTTTTATGTTACCAATGTAATAGCTTTTATATCCTATTTACTTCATTGTATGAATAATTACTCTACCATTAACTTGTAATTAATATTGTCACTACTAATACTACTACTACTACCACTAGTGAACATCGAAATGGTACCTCACTAGTATTGCACCCCACTCTGAGCCTTTACATACCCTCTGTGTCCATGTATTGTTTGTAATGGCTTGATAAAGCTCCTGGAGAGTGAAACGTTGCCACAATAAAATGTCACATTAGTTGCACTTGTGTCCTTTTACTTTACACATTGTGTTGTTGTTGTTGGGTGTATAAGGGCCACTGAGAGCATAAGCCATACATAGTTGTGGTGAAGGCAGCAGCAAAGACAGTGGTGTTCTCAGTAGCCCTATATAACTTCAGCAACAATGGAGGAGTTAGGTTCATGCTGTCATTTTTCAATCAATTAATCACTTAACTTACTTGCTACACTGTTAATGCTACACTTTATCGCTGGCTGGTGCTATAGAATTTATCAACTCGTGCTGCTTTAGTATCGTACATATCGCTGAATCACTGAAGAAGGCACATTCTCCCCTCTCTCTTCCTCCTCCACTTTGGTACTTTTCTATGATTTCTTTCTTTAATTCTATCGTGTTCCTCACTTGCTTTACCAAAGGACTGGCACTAGGAGCTTTCTTTGGGCCCATGGTCACTCGTCACAAAATTAGAGAAAGTGCAAAGGTGTGCGACAAGGTTAGTTCCAGATCTAAGGGGAATGTCCTATGAAGAAAGGTTAAGGGAAATTGGCCTGACGACACTGGACGACAGGAGGGTTAGGGGAGACATGATAATGACATACAAAATACTATGTGGAATAGACAAGGTGGACAGAGACAGGATGTTCCAGAGAAGGGACACAGAAACAAGGGGTCACAATTGGAAGTTGAAGACTCAGATGAGTCAAAAGGATGTTAGGAAGTATTTCTTCAGTCATAGAGAAGTCAGGAAGTGGAGTGGCCTAGCAAGTGTAGTGGAGGCAGGAATCATACATAGCTTTAAGATGAGGTATGATAAAGCTCATGGAGCAGGGAGAGAGAGGACCTAGCAGCACTCAATGAAGAGGCAGGGCCAGGAGCTGTTTCGACCCCTGCAACCACAAATAGGTGAGTACACACACACACACACACACACACACACACACACACACACACACACATGCACAAACATGTACACATGCACAGACACACACACAGCTAATACATGTATACCATTATGTAAAACAGAAGTGTGCAAAGGAGCTCCAACCTTCTTGTCTTTTAGAGTGCTTAGCTTCAAGGATCTTGGAATATGCATAAGCATAAACATGCTTGACACACCATGACTCTAGACCAAGCTTGTGTTCCACGTGGATGACAGGTGAACGATTCACTTCTCCAGGTGAAAATACTATATCAAATTCATCTCTGAAAATAGGAAATTCATAGCATTACAAATATTATTTATTCGTACATTCAGTGGCCACTTTATTAGGGGTTGGTCAAAAAAATAGTTCAAAACATTCTAGTTCACTGGCAATGCTCCTAGGGGTAAAAGACTGCCAGATCCCACTTTTTCATCAAATTGATGGGGATTGGGAAAATTAACACCCTGCTGCCAATCCCAGATGCAGTCTACTGGTGGGTACTGGATATTGATAGCTGGTTGTGATTGTGCAAGTTGTTGTGGTGTGTGGGTGATTGAGGGGTGGCCTTTGTTGTGGATGTGCCGAGTTAGTGTGGGTCCCAGCCTGGGGTACTGCTGGTACTGTATTCCGCTTGGCACCACCACAACATAAGCTGTATGTGGTCGATTATCCATCCCAACTGTAGCCGCATCATTGTCACTCTCACTGTCTATCCCTGGTGTAGGACCATAGTATGTACTCCATCCCCTTGGAATAGCATAGGGCAAACTACCAGAATGCATGTGGTGTTGAATGAATCAGTGCTACACTGGTGAATATTCCTCTTCACTACTGCTACTTGAATAGTCATCAAAATAACAAAAAAAAGCACAATACCTTGACTGGAATGATACACAAATAACCCGCACATAAAAGAGAGAAGCTTACGACGGCGTTTTGGTCCGACTTGGACCATTTACAAAGTCACACTGTGTATAGTCATCAAAAGCTAGGAAATCACAAGGTCAATATCATCGCCACTGCTCACATCTGAGTCCTGGCCATGAGAAAATATGAGCTTATGCTTACGCAGTGGTACAAACGATTGTGAACGAGATGGACCAGTCCCAGAGGTGGATGGCTGAGGGTCACAGACTCCTCACAACCATAAAATTCACCTTCACTTCCACCTCCATTCATGTCAGAACTCATTTGAGAAAAGAAGATTCCTAATATGGCAAGGAGTGAGGGTTTTGCTTACCAAGAGGCATAGTGAACAAATTTGGCACACAGATGGCATTCCTACAATGCAATGCAAGCGTCCCAATTTTTTGTATACTGCACACAATAACCATGTAGACCCATTCTCTCATATGTAAGCGTACAAGCTTTCTCCCACTAAATTTGAAGCTGCTAGAATTTTGGCATAGTACTATGGGACCGACTCGGGCTTTGAAGCCCAGGTCTGTCCCCACCCCTAAAGGATTAAGCACTACAATACAAATTCTCTTTAAAACAGTAAGCACTCAATTTCATGGCCTTTGGAAATGTGGAAAAAAAATGCTGAGTCAATAGATTTGGAAACAATGGACAAAGTCCACTGGGCCCAGAATTGTTCATTACTGTTACAATTACGGCAAAACAATCTCTTCTCTTATCTAGTGGGGGAAATAGGCGGCCATTACTAGACACCTATTTACCTCAATTAGCCCATAATATAGAGGGTTTACTGTACTGATTTCTCTATGTACGTACTTTTCCACAAAAAGATTTGAAAACATGAACATTAACAGGAAAATGAAACAACACTAATAAAGTTAAGCCTTGTTAGACTACCAAGACTATTCAATAAATATTCTCTGGTTCTCTAAAAACACAAATATCAGGCATTTGATTGCTGACAATCCTGCCTATGGAACAAAATATCTGCAGTCAATTTTCAATTGAGAACTGGAATACATATCTTAAACCTTATTAAAGAAAATGATACAATTAGATTTAAAATGTTGTATACATGCATGTGACAGATGACATACTATATATCTTTTTTGCAATATTTCTAGTAGTTAAACCCAAACAGCCACAGTAAAAACAATGAATAAATTAAACTAACAAAATGCAGATTACTGAAATTGAAAACTTGTAAAAAGAGCCTCTATATTAGAGTGAGATAAATATAATAGTAAATCTTAAAAAGTGAGTAGTGTTAACTTACAAGAGCGAGTCCTGGCTTATCACCATATCCAGTTTCTTCATGATTCTTTCACATGTTGCTTCCTCCATAATTATAAAACCTTCACTTGTTTAATCAAAACCCAGACCTGTGGAACATGAAAAGATGTACATATACAGGTTGGAGGGAGAGAGTATTGAGGAGGTGAATGTATTCAGATATTTAGGAGTGGATGTGTCAGCAGATGGGTCTATGAAAGATGAGGTGAATCACAGAACTGATGAAGGGAAAAAGGTGAGTGGTGCACTGAGGAGTCTTTGGCGACAAAGAACTTTGTCCATGGAAGCAAAGAGGGGAATGTATAAGAGTATAGTTATACCAATGCTCTTATATGGATGTGAAGCATGGGTGTTGAATGTTGCAACAAGCAGAAAGCTGGAGGCAGTGGAGATGTCATGTCTGAGGGCAATATGTGGTGTGAATATAATGTAGAGAATTCGTAGTTTGAAAATTAGGAGGTGTGGGATTACCAAAACTATTATCCAGAGAGCTGAGGAGGGGTTGTTGAGGTGGTTCAGACATATAAAGAGGGTAGAACAAAATAGAATGACTTCGAAAGTGAATAAATCTGTAGTGGAGGGAAGGCGGGGTAAAGGTTGGCCTAGGAAAAGTTGGAGGGAGGAGGTAAAGGAGATTTTGTGTGCGAGAGCTTGGACTTCAAGAAAGCATGAGTGAGCATATTAGATTGGAGTGAATGGAGACAAATTGTTTTTAGGAGTTGATGTGCTGTTAGTGTGTGAGCAGGGTAATATTTATGAAGGGATTCAGGGAAACGAGCAGACCAGACTTGAGTCCTGGAGATGGGAAGTACAGTGTCTACACTCTGAAGGAGGGGTGTTAATGTTGCAGTTTTATAATTGTAGTGTAACTGCACCTCTGGCAAGACAGTGATGGAGTGAATGAAGGTGAAAGTTTTTCTTTTTTGGGCCACCCTACCTTAGTGGGAAATGGCCAATGTGTTAATAAAAAAGTAATAATTATATATACAGTACAGAAGGGCCCCACTTATACGGCAGGTTAGGTTCTGTAAAGTGGAAAACTCCATAAAACGGAACACACTTCTTTTTCCACTTATAAATGCATATAAATAACAGAGAATAAGTTTATACTAATATATATTAAGTTAGCAACAGAACTAGGCATTAAAAAACTATAAAAGTAAAATACACACACACAGTACACTCATTACTTACCTTAAAATATTTGTAGTCTAAATGTAGGGTGAGAGGTGAGTAGTTATTGTAGAAGTCAGGTGTGGTAGGTCACCACCTACCAAACCTACACCAAATATATGACTAAAATTTAAAATTGCCCCAGAGCGAATATTATTATTATTATTATTATTATTATTATTATTATTATTATTATTATTACTATTGCCATCGACATACCTTGTTCACTGAGTTTATTAATCATTTCCAACAACTACCCTTAGCTGTCAATGGAAAAAAGTCACTGACTTTTTTGGGTTATCCTAGGTAATCTAATAATTGTTTACGGAAATCCCGGCAAATTCGCAAATTTTTTCTTTTGGCTTTTTTCATGGCAATATATAATTTTTTATGTATTTAAATGCAAAATATTAACCCTTTCGAGTTTCCAACGTACTAGTACAGCTTACGCACCAGGGTTATTGATGTACTAGTACGCTTAAATTCTAGTCCCTTCAAATCTAGCAAGAGAAAGCTGGTAGGCCTACATATGAAAGAATGGGTCTATGTGGTCAGTGTGCACAGTATAAAAAAAAATCCTGCAGCACATAGTGCGTAATGAGAAAAAAAAACTTTGATCGTGTTTTTGGTTTAAAACAGCGATTTTGCACTGTATTGTCATATGGTATTTATGGTTGTATTCTAGTTTTCCTGGTTTCATTTTACAGAATGGAAGACATATTACAGAAATTGAGATGATTTTGATTGGTTTCACAATGAAAAGTAGCTTGAAATTGAGCTCAAATTAGCAAGAATATTCAATTTTTGCCAAAGTTCAAAAGTAAACAAATCATGCCACGCATCCAATACACGTCAACTGGTGAGTCTAATATTCTTTCACAAGTGCGCTGATATTATTTATACCATTTCTACACTAATGCAGTAGTCTGCATAACAGTAAATCTTCTATTTTTTGTGAGAACAAAAATTCAAAGTGGAAAGCAAAAGAAATGTAAGAGGGGCATGGGGACATGACTAATGAACAGAGGAAATGTTATTTTAGTGCCAGGAATGTCTGTCTTGTTTATTCTGGACCCTATTTGGAAATTGGCATCTTTTGAAATTTGTCTGAAATTGGCAAAATTGCTAATTTCTGACCACTTTATTGGATAGTTGAAATGGGTAAATGGGTGGTTTCTTGTACTCATTCGATAGAAAAAGTGGAGTTCTAGCAAAATAGTTATGACTTTTTCGACTAGTACATAGGAATTGGCTGAAAATAGGGCTCAAAGTGGGCGAAATTTCCGATGCGTAAACATCGTTGAGACCGCTAACTTCGCAAGAGCATAAATCCGTAAGTTTTCAATCAAATTTCACGTTTTTGGTGTCATTATGATCGGGAAAAGATTCTATATCTTTTCATAAGAAAAAATAATTTTTTTTTCCCAAAAAATTTTCGACACTGAGAACAAGTTTAGGAGAGGGCTTCTCGACCCTGAAAGGGCTAAGAAAAGTATAATTTAATAATTTTGTAAAATAAATATTGATGTAAATTCAGCAAAATTTCCACATAAAGTATAATACTAATTCATCATCATCATCTTCAATCGGTATCATTCATTATTGGTGAGTAACCGTACATTTAACTTTACTAAATCATTACTGCATATTTACCGTACGTATACCAAAGATAACGATGTTGCATGAATCATAGTATACCAAAGAAAATGGGCTTGCATGAATTACACTACATATGGGGGTAACATCGGTATTTTACATTCTAGCACTGCGGGAGACGGGTTATCTTGATATTCTTTTTTTTTTTAAGGGTGATGTATGAAGTTGAGTTTGAAATTAAATTAAAATGTTTTGAGTTTAAATTATAAAAATAGGTATTTATAGGCTTTTTTTTTTAACCGCGTCCAGAATTCACGGTTTTTCCAAATTCGCGGGTGGTCTTGGAACATAACCCCTGCAAATTTGGGGAGACTACTGTATACCCATTCTTCATTCATTCAGACTTTCTAAAATAAATATATTCACCACTCACTATAGGCTAAGGATAAAAATATTTTAAGGTAAGTAATGGGTGTACTGTATATGCATTTTAAAGGCATAGCTATATTTCTCACTTAATATATGCTAGTGTAAATATGTTATCAGGCTTTTATATGCATTTGAAGTGAAAAAAGGCTATGTTTCAGTTTACAGCAGTAGCCCGCAACCTAACATGCTGAATAAGTGGGGCCTAACAGTACTGCAAACAACATTTAATTATTCAGCACTACCCTGTACTCGATCCTTACTGAAGGAGTGCCAAAGTATTAGTATAGGTATCATTGGGTATCAGTATCAGGGGAAAAAACTGCCAATACACTTAAAATACTAAAATTACACATGTACAGTGGACCCCCGGTTAACGATATTTTTTCACTCCAGAAGTATGTTCAGGTGCCAGTACTGACCGAATTTGTTCCCATAAGAAATATTGTGAAGTAGATTAGTCCATTTCAGACCCCCAAACATATACGTACAAACGCACTTACATAAATACACTTACATAATTGGTCACATTCGGAGGTAATCGTTATGCGGGGGTCCACTGTACTTAAAAACAATAAAATTAAAACTACCTCACAATTGTGAAGGTTATTAATATACACTCAAACACACACACACACAGAATTTTACAGTGTTGTCCCTTACATTCACTTGTCAGTTATGAAAGAAAAAGTAAGGAACACAGTGAAAGAAGCCGAACATATTAGTTCCGTCACAGATATGTGGACAAGTGTACAGAGTGAAGCCTTTATAAGCGTAACTGATCATTCCCTCAGCAAAGACTGTTCAGAAACTGTTGTCTTTAGGGCGATGCCAAAACCTGCATACCACAAAGCAATGAACATCACTGAGATTATTCAAGAACCTAATATAACCCAAATTAACCAGACTTAAGAGCATTTCTAAGTAAGAGTAAGATAGGATTTAAAAAAAAAAATTCCCACTTGCATAAAATATAGCAAGCTCCACTGCACACTTAAGTCTTTACATACCAAAACTCACCAGAATATTGACTGCAACATCTGCATGCAAGATCTGCAGGCAGCATGCTACACATGCATTCTGCTTGCTACACCTGCATTCTGCTTGCTACACCTGCATCCTGTTTGCTACACCTGCATTCTGCTTGCTATATCTGCATCCTGCTTGCTACACCTGCATTCTGCTTGCTACACCTGCATCCTTCTTGCTACACCTGCTGCCTGCTTGCTACACCTGCATCCTGCTTGCTACACCTGCATCCTGCTTGCTACACCTACATTCTGCTTGCTACATCTGCATCCTTCTTGCTACACCTGCTGCCTGCTTGCTACACCTGCATTATGCTTGCTACACCTGTATCCTGCTTGCTACACCTGCATCCTGCTTGCTACACCTGCATCCTTCTTGCTACACCTGCTGCCTGCTTGCTACACCTGTATTCTGCTTGCTACACCTGCATTCTGCATGCTACACCTGCATCCTGCTTGCTACACCTGCATTCTGCTTGCTACACCTGCATCCCTCTTGCTACACCTGCTGCCTGCTTGCTACACCTGTAGCCTTCTTGCTACACCTGCATCCTGCTTGCTACACCTGCAGCCTTCCTGCTACACCTGCAGCATTCCTGCTACACCTGCAGCCTTCTTGCTACACCTGCATCCTGCTTGCTACACCTGCAGCCTTCCTGCTACACATGCAGCCTTCCTGCTACACCTGCAGCCTTCTTGCTACACTGCATCCTGCTTCCTGCTTACTACACCTGCATCCTGCTTGCTACACCTATAGCCTTCCTGCTACACCTGCAGCCTTCCTTCTATACCTGCAGCCTTCCTGCTACACCTGCAGCATTCCTGCTATACCTGCAGCCTTCCTGCTATACCTGCAGCCTTCCTGCTACACCTGCTGCCTTCCTGCTACACCTGCAGCCTTCCTGCTACACCTGCATCCTTCCTGCTATACCTGCAGCCTTCCTGCTACACCTGCATCCTTCCTGCTATACCTGCAGCCTTCCTGCTACACCTGCAGCCTTCCTGCTATACCTGCATCCCTCCTGCTATACCTGCAGCCTTCCTGCTACACCTGCAGCCTTCCTGCTATACCTGCAGCCTTCCTGCTATACCTGCAGCCTTCCTGCTATACCTGCAGCCTTCCTGCTATACCTGCATCCTCCCTGCTATACCTGCAGCCTTCCTGCTATACCTGCAGCCTTCCTGCTATACCTGCAGCCTTCCTGCTATACCTGCAGCCTTCCTGCTATACCTGCAGCCTTCCTGCCATACCTGCAGCCTTCCTGCTATACCTGCAGCCTTCCTGCTATACCTGCATCCTCCCTGCTATACCTGCAGCCTTCCTGCTATACCTGCATCCTCCCTGCTATACCTGAAGCCTTCCTGCTATACCTGCAGCCTGCCTGTTATTCCTGCAGCCTTCCTGCTATACCTGCATCCCCCCTGCTATACCTGCAGCCTTCCTGCTATACCTGCATCCTCCCTGCTCTACCTGAAGCCTTCCTGCTATACCTGCAGCCTTCCTGCTATACCTGCAGCCTTCCTGCTATACATGCATCCTTCCTGCTATACCTGCAGCCTTCCTGCCATACCTGCAGCCTTCCTGCTATACCTGCAGCCTTCCTGCTATACCTGCATCCTCCCTGCTATACCTGCAGCCTTCCTGCTATACCTGCAGCCTTCCTGCTATACCTGCAGTCTTCCTGCCATACCTGCAGCCTTCCTGCCATACCTGCAGCCTTCCTGCCATACCTGCAGCCTTCCTGCTATACCTGCAGCCTTCCTGCTACACCTGCAGCCTTCCTGCTACACCTGCAGCCTGCCTGCTATACCTGCAGCCTTCCTGCTATACCTGCAGCCTTCCTGCTACACCTGCAGCCTTCCTGCTACACCTGCAGCCTTCCTGCTACACCTGCAGCCTGCCTGCTATACCTGCAGCCTTCCTGCCATACCTGCAGCCTTCCTGCTATATCTGCAGCCTTCCTGCTACACCTGCAGCCTTCCTGCTACACCTGCAGCCTTCCTGCTACACCTGCAGCCTTCCTGCTACACCTGCAGCCTTCCTGCTACACCTGCAGCCTGCCTACTATACCTGCAGCCTTCCTGTTATAACTGCGTCCTCCCTGCTATACCTGCAGCCTTCCTGCTATACCTGCATCCTCCCTGCTATACCTGAAGCCTTCCTGCTATACCTGCAGCCTTCCTGCTATACCTGCAGCCTTCCTGCTATACATGCATCCTTCCTGCTATACCTGCAGCCTTCCTGCCATACCTGCAGCCTTCCTGCTATACCTGCAGCCTTCCTGCTATACCTGCATCCTCCCTGCTATACCTGCAGCCTTCCTGCTATACCTGCAGCCTCCCTGCTATACCTGCAGCCTTCCTGCTATACCTGTAGCCTTCCTGCTATTCCTGCAGCCTTCCTGCTCTACCTGCAGCCTTCCTGCCATACCTGCAGCCTTCCTGCCATACCTGCAGCCTTCCTGCTATACCTGCAGCCTTCCTGCTACACCTGCAGCCTTCCTGCTACACCTGCAACCTTCCTGCTACACCTGCAGCCTGCCTGCTATACTTGCAGCCTTCCTGCTATACCTGTAGCCTTCCTGCTACACCTGCAGCCTGCCTGCTATACCTGCAGCCTTCCTGCTATAACTGTAGCCTTCCTGCTATACCTGCAGCCTGCCTGCTATACCTGTAGCCTTCCTCCTATACCTGCAGCCTTCCTGCTATACCTGTAGCCTTCCTGCTATACCTGCAGCCTTCCTGCTATACCTGCAGCCTTCCTGCTATACCTGCAGCCTTCCTGCTACACCTGCAGCCTGCCTGCTATACCTGCAGCCTTCCTGCTATAACTGTAGCCTTCCTGCTATACCTGCAGCCTGCCTGCTATACCTGTAGCCTTCCTGCTATACCTGCAGCCTTCCTGCATTACCTGTAGCCTTCCTGCTACACCGCAGCCTTCCTGCTACACCGCAGCCTTCCTGCTATACCTGTAGCCTTCCTGCTACACCTGCAGCCTGTCTGCTATACCTGCAGTCTTCCTGCTATACCTGTAGCCTTCCTGCCATACCTGCAGCCTTCCTGCTATACCTGCAGCCTTCCTGCTATACCTGCAACCTGCTTGCTACATCTGCAAGGACAGGAACCAGGCTGTGTCCTGCCTGTAGGGAAACCTGCCTGCTACATATTCCCGCTTGTAACACCTGCAGGTCACAGGTGCACGAAACACCTGCAACACTAATGGGTAGGTAAACCACTAACCTGCAACTGTAAATGAATTGTTGTGACGGGCGAGAGACCGCAGCGTCAGCCATTACGTGTTGTTGTTGTTGTTGGTATTAAGGGTTCCCTCGGCCCGAGGACCGCCTGAACCCACCACCACAACACTGGGTTCCCTCGGCCCGAGGACCGCCTGAACCCACTACCACAACACTGGGTTCCCTCGGCCCGAGGACCGCCTGAACCCACTACACAACAAGGGTTCCCTCGGCCCGAGGACCGCCTGAACCCATACCAAACACTGGGTTCCCTCGGCCGAGGACCGCCTGAAACCACACACCACAAACACTGGGGTCTCCCTACGGCCGAAGGCCGCCTGAACCCATACCACAACACTGGGTTCCCTCGGCCCGAGGACCGCCTGAACTCACCACCACAACACTGGGTTCCCTCGGCCCGAGGGCCCCGCCTGAACCCACCACCACACCACGGGGCTCCCTCGGCCCGAGAACCGCCTGAACCCACTACCACAACACGGGTTCCCTCGGCCCGAGGACCGCCTGAACCCACCACCACAACACTGGGTCCCCCCGCCCGAGGACCGCCTGAACCCACCACCACAACACTGGGCTCCCTCGGCCCGAGGACCGCCTGAACCCACCACAAAAACCTGGGTTCCCTCGGCCCGAGGACCGCCTGAACCCACCACCACAACACTGGGCTCCCTCGGCCCGAGGACCGCCTGAACCCACCACCACAACACTGGGCTCCCTCGGCCCGAGGGACCGCCTGAACCCACCACCCGACACTGGGCTCCCTCGGCCCGAGGACCGCCTGAACCCACCACCACAACACTGGGTTCCCTCGGCCCGAGGACCGCCTGAACCCACCACCACAACACTGGGTTCCCTCGGCCGGAGGACTGCCTGAACCCACCACCACAACACTGGGCTCCCTCGGCCCGAGGACCGCCTGAAACCCACCACCACAACACTGGGTTCCCTCGGCCGAGGACCGCCTGAACCCACCACCACAACACTGGGTTCCCTCGGCCCGAGGACCGCCTGAACACACCACCACAACACTGGGCTCCCTCGGCCCGAGGACCGCCTGAACCCACCACCACAACACTGGGTTCCCTCGGCCCGAGGACCGCCTGAACCCACCACTACAACACTGGGTTCCCTCGGCCCGAGGACCGCCTGAACCCACCACCACAACATTGGGCTCCCTCGGCCCGAGGACCGCCTGAACCCACCACCCGAGCACTGGGCTCCCTCGGCCAGAGGACCGCCTGAACCCACCACCAGAACACGGGGTTCCCTCGGCCCGAGGACCGCCTGAACCCACCACCACAACACTGGGTTCCCTCGGCCCGAGGACCGCCTGAACCCACCACCACAACACTGGGCTCCCTCGGCCCGAGGACCGCCTGAACCCACCACCCGAGCACTGGGCTCCCTCGGCCCGAGGACCGCCTGAACCCACCACCACAACACTGGGCTCCCTCGGCCCGAGGACCGCCTGAACCCACCACCACAACACTGGGCTCCCTCGGCCCGAGGACCGCCTGAACCCACCACCACAACACTGGGCTCCCTCGGCCCGAGGACCGCCTGAACCCACCACCCGAGCAATGGGCTCCCTCGGCCCGAGGACCGCCTGAACCCACCACCCGAGCACTGGGCTCCCTCGGCCCGAGGACCGCCTGAACCCACCACCACAACACTGGGTTCTCTCGGCCCGAGGACCGCCTGAGTCCACCACCACAACACTGGGCTCCCTCGGCCCGAGGACCGCCTGATTCCACCACCACAACACTGGGCTCCCTCGGCCCAAGGACCGCCTGAACCCACCACCCGAGCACTGGGCTCCCTCGGCCCGAGGAACGCCTGAACCCACCACCACAACACTGGGTTCCCTCGGCCC